AAATAGTAACTGCGTATGTCAGGTCCTGCAATCAATGTCAGTTAATAAATGATATTAATTACAGCCCGGCCGGGTACTTAAATAGCATTCGCGCTACATTTCCGAATGAAATTTTAGGCATAGATCTTCTTGGTCCTTTCCCCCAGAGTGAGTTAAATAAAAATCGTTTTCTTTTAGTAATTGTAGATCATTTTTCAAAATGGACAGAAATTGTTCCACTTAAACGCGCGTCAGCCAAAACAGTCGCAGATGCATTCTTACACAGATACATTTTAAAATACGGTGCACCGATAAAAGTCATTAGCGATAACGGTAAACAATTCGTTAGCCAAATATTTGAAAACATATGCACTGGACTTGGCATACGCCATATCAAAATGGTTCCGTATAGACCACAGGCAAACATAGCAGAAAGAGTTAATAAAAACATTGTAAAAATAATTCGAAGTTATGTTAGCACACATCACAAGCGCTGGGATGGCTACATAAATGAGTTAGCTTATGCTTTAAGAACGGCAAATCACGATACTACGGGAAAAACCCAGCAGAATTATTTTTAGGACGGAAAGTTAATTACGCCATTAGATAAATTATTCTTTGTGCAACAAAGAGAGCAAGAATTTAAACAGAAAGACGTGCAAACACTTATTGACCAGGCGGTTAAAAGCTCGGATACGGCAAGAAATAGGCAAAAATTATATTATGATAGAAAACGCCGTGAAGCAGATTTTAAAGTTGGGGATAAAGTGTTGAAGCGGAAATTTTCTTTATCAAGTGCCCCAGACAATTTTACTGCAAAGTTAGCTCCAAAATTTGAAGGCCCCTATGTAATTCAGGAAATCAAGGGAGTCGTATTGTACCTTAAGAACGAGAGAGGGGAAATCTGTAAAGCAAGTCCCGACCAGGTGAAAAAATATTATAATCAAAATGATTTTGAAATCCTTAAAAGTTTCTTGCAGGACTCAAGCGTAAAAGAAGTAGAAGGTCCAGAAATAACGTCACCCGTTCCACCACCCAAGAAGCAGAGAACTGAAGAGAAACCTAGCCCTTCTACAAGTCATGCGACGGTACCGAAAAGAAGAAATGAAAACGTTTCAGACTCCAGCATTTAAGAAATACAAGAAAGCAAAGCCGCCGCGTAAAGAACTTTGGTAAAGAGGAAAACACCACTTACAACGTATCGCAGTAGAAATTCTACATCGAGGAGAACGCTTCCAGGGCCAGAGAGTCAGGTGCAAACAAGGCCGCCGTTCCCGAGAACGAAAAGACAGCAGGAGGAACGAAAAGACCACCACCAACAGAAGAAATTCAAAGCACGATTCCAGACCGGAGGACGCCAAGACCAGCCGTCCAGGGGCAAAAAACGGAAAAGACAGCAACCCGACGACTACCACTCCAAGAGGCCAGCATGCAGAGGGCGAAAAAGAAAAATCAACATGGACGACACTCGAAGGACACAAAGGAGACGACTGACGTCGATGAAATCCATAACATGGGAGCAGTTCTGCCAGAAGAGGATGTCGGAGTTCCAATCATCGAAAACTCAAAGATAAGTTAAAATCTTCTATAAATTTTTTTTCTTTTGTTCCGAAATGTTATGCGTAAATACGAAGTTCTATGTTTTGACGGAAAGTCAATGTTGTCTCGGTTGAGACTTAGTTTTTGTTTTACTTTATTTAGCTAAGGCAAAAGTATTATTTTCTTTAAGTATAAAATCTAAGAACAAGCAGTTTCTGTTGGTCGAAAGACTAATTCTGTTATGTTAAAGCCAAAATTTGGCCGAAGATAAAAATAACTTCGTATTCTTGTATTAATAAGAACTTTAGTTTCAGTGCCGCCAGCTTGGCGAAGAATGAGTAAAGTAAAAAATTTATTTTTCTCTTATTCATTTTATGGTAAATTGTAAAAATCATATGTATTAGAATTTTGTAAATATACGTAAATACTTGAAAGTTATGTAAAAGTAGAATTTAGTCTAGAAGCATAAAATTTTAGATGCTAAAAGTAAATGCTCAAAAGCAATGAATTCAAATTTAAGTATTAAACTGTAGATAAAATCATGCTTTAGAGCGAAAGCCTGCATGTCTAAAGATGAATGAGGGGGAATTTAGAATGAATGTGTTTTGTAGGGTTCTCCACCTACACTTGAATTTTAAGAATGTTAAAGTAGCTCATCGAGTTGTAGAATGTCGAGTAAGGTGTGTCTATTTGGTCGTTGAATTCTAACAAATCATTGTGGTTAGGGGAAGTGTTGCAATACTAAAACACGAATATTCCCGTTTGACACCACACATGGTGGAGAGCCAGGGTAAAGTTAAATTCATGTTTGAATACTTGAATGAATGTGAATTAAGCAGTAACTAAGGAAAATAAATCGTTCAAAAACAAAAACTTATTATTCAGTGTCAAGAAAGTGTAAATTATAATGTATTTAGAAAGATACTGATACTTATTCCTTCCAGATGCTGGAAGGAAGAGAACAGATTGATTGCTGAAGTCCAGGAAAGGTTGCTGTAAGAAGAGAGAGATTAAATAAGTATCTACAGAAATTTATTCTACCTTTTGTGAGATAAACAGTTTTTTTTTATGTAAACGAGGCTCTTAAAATTTAGTTCAGAATTGTGGAAACTTTTCAACAGGTCGTTTCTAGGACCTGCTTCCAAGTTTTCCCAATTCTGGCAGGGACAAATGTAGGGTTTATATTTATTTTAACTAACATTTATTTTAAGTTTAAACTATCTTTCCTGTCAAGCCTTACTTTCCCCTGGAATTGCCAATGCCAGAGTATGTAAATTTTAGTAGAACGCGCAAAGGATTCAAATTGTCAGCGGAAGTAATCTGAGTTAAATAGAAGGGAAACGAGTTCGAAAGTGTGCTTTCTTGCTTCACGAGCGTGGAGGTGGCTAGTTAGAAATTGAAGAACCACGCGTTTCGGCCTGTGTGCTTGCCTCGGCAATTGTTAATCTTTCAACGTAATATTCAGAAGTTTGCTGAATTATCAGCGGTATCTTAGAACGCGGTGAGGTTAGTTACGTTTAGAGAGCCTCGTAGTTAGTCTCTTGTTATTATCTCTTTTTAGTTTCTTATTTTTATTTTACCGCCGGATCGGCGTAGTGTGTGAGCGTCAAGAGCACGCATTTGTAATTTCTAATTGTAATAAGTTGAATAAAAAGGGATTTAAACCCTTCTCAAGACTTTGTCTACTTTCCAGTTCTTAGCAGTCACCACTATTGTTGCGTGCAGGTTGGAAGCGCGCAACGTTTCAAGCTTCAGTTTACGATATTGACAGCAAGACCAGCATTGGAGACGTCATCAGACCTTGCTTTAATTGGCAGCTTAGCAGCCAATCTCTCATACTACTGCTTTTAAATCTATAAACTTTATAGTAAATTATAGTAAAACTGCTTGCCACTAAAATCTACTTAAATTCTGGAATCAGTGAACCTCTTGGCGAAATGAGGCAGAACGGGAAGAAGTGCAAAATAACATTTCGTTAGTAAAATTTAAATATATTTGCTACAAGCATTCCAGCGCGATGAATTAATCATGCAAATAAATTGAAATGTACTGAAAATGCGATGTATGAGGTGACAATGATTAGAATTTCAGAGCGATAGCGCATGCTTAGCAGCTACCTGTCAACTGTCATGTTAGCTGTATGAATAGAGAACTGTAGCAGAACGTTAAAAGTAGTGCATCGTTATCTGTTAGCCGTAAATGTTTAATAAGGAGTAATTATGCGTTGTCACATCGACAACAAACGGCCGAATAGAAGCAAATTACTGCTTGTAAAAGAATGCCTGAGATGAGGAAGATTTTTCGTATTGTAAAATCGTATCGCATATGAAGCACAATTCATCGTCAGTGGAAGCAGCGGAGAGCTATAAAATCTAAAATATACCTGAAAATCATGAAATGTTGCGTCACCACGCGATGACAGACAGCTTATTCACATGGTAGAGAGGGACCATGCAGTTAATTTCAGTAACTGACACAACTTTAGAGTGTTGCTGCAGGAGTGCTATTGTAAACTTCAACAGTTCACGTGCATCTTCCGCGTGGTGGATTGCATACATGCAATCCCTTATGCAAAATTACTAAAGATTCCTATTATAATGGGGCCCACCAGCCGCCGAGCGGTATAGTCGCTGAACACTGGTAGTTCGGTCCGAGGTTCGAATCCCGCGAACGGGCTGGCTGCATGGGTGTTTTCGTGGTTTTTCCCATGTGTAACGTGTATACGAGCCAGTTTCTCTTAGAAAGTCCTCCACGAAGGCATCCCTCCCCTTAAGCAGATAGCCCTAGTGTGCTTTGCCATAATTAAATACATCACACCACCTATTATAATGGACTAATCAATACAGCCATGAGCATGTCTCTTGGAAACAGTCTTTTCAAGTGAATCATGCTCCATGTTTGAATACAATCATGGTCGAATACACGCTGGATGCTATAGGAGTCAAAGCACCTTCCAGTCTGGATCATCCAGATTGGACGAGAATCAATGGCACTCTCACTAAGAATGTCTTCGTCAGGAAGGTTACTTTTCATTCAGTGCATATATTGGAGTTGTAATTCAACAGAATGATGCCCATTCACATGTTGCTAGAAATGCTTAAGACGTCTCCAGCATATCAGATATCGTTATTTTCCTTGACCTACCCATTCACCAAAAATGTTGCCTACTGAACATGTTTGAATAAAATTTGCAAGTAATAAACGATGCAAAAATAATATCTTTCCTCTCTACGATTTTGATGAAAATGTTTTTACGTTAAAATATCTATAAGCTCTAACATATTTTAGTACATTTTCCAAAAATATCGTGTCACGCAAGACAAGATCTCACTGTTTATATACTAATATTAATTCTGCAAGAAAACGTTAATATACATTACCGTTTCTTTCTGTACACTTTTTCCTGCAGTTTTCTCTTGTATTTTCTAGGCAGCAAAATAACCCAATTTCAAAAAAACTCTTTATGAAATCATTATTTAAACTTTGCAACAATAGAAAATTTTAATCTATAATTTTTTTGTCAAATACATGATATTTTCAATTGCCTTATTTTTCATACAACTGAAAAACTAAGAGAACTAATTTTTATTACTTTCAGATCCAAATATTTACAGATCTTTCTTCTCAGTAGTAACAGAATTAATAATTTTCTTTTGAGAAATCAGTTCTTCAGTTAGATTCCAAAGATCGCTGGCCAGTTTATCATCTTTGGCATTTAAAAATGGCTCTACTTTAGTGCAGTCACTGTGAAAATAAAATTTAAAAAGTAAGGAAAAAAATCACGAATCATAATCTTATTTATAAATTACAGTAATCTTTTTTATAATATCGCGAGGCATATACATTAAAGGGTAAACACAACTGAGAACAGATAACAGAAAATATTCTGTAGAAGAAATGAAAAATCATACAAGCAAAATATATAAACAAAATAAAACTGGAGGAAGCAAAATATTGTTGCGTGCGTACGGGTTCGTTATGAAATGAATGCACAAGTCCGATCAAAAATGAACAAAAATTTATTATTATCACAACAAAAATGCTTAAATTTTCTCAAATTATCATGCAGTATTACAATATCTCGCAGTAGTTATCTTTTAACTACTCAAATGTCCCAATAGAACGTAATTCAAAACAGCTAAAGAACGCTAATCCGCGAATTCGCTACAATCAACAACAGTAGTTTTCTAAACAACAACAAACTAAACAACTACTACAAACTGAGATGTTTTCCTCCTTTTATAAGATTTTAAAATCACGCGCTAGAATTTTCCAGCACTTTCTCGAAATCAAAAAGAGATATTTATTTATTTAACGCACGCGCTCTTATATTTTTAATTTTTTTTTTTTTGGCTTAGCTTTCTTTTAATATTCGTCACGCGCTGCACTGCGCCAGAAATAAAACCATTTAATTTATAACTGAATTAACATTAGCTTTTTAAATACCAAATTCGTAACACTGCCCCCTTCCCAAGGACTGCACGTCCCGGGCAGTACAATCCCTGGACAGGAAGCTAAACTTACAACTGTGGCATAAATGCAACTGAAGCATAAACATTACATTACAATATCAAACAATATAAACAATAAATGCAATAACTAGCTTAAACAAATCAAATGCTATCAAATACTAAATACAAAACAAATACTAAATACAAATCAAATACTAAATACAAATCAAATACTAAATACAAATCAAATCAAATACACATTTATAAACAAAAGAAAAAAAAAAAAAAAAAAAAAAAAAAAAAAAAAAAAAAAAAAAAAAAAAAAAAAAAAAAAAACAAAAAAAAAAAAAAAAAAAAAAACAAAAAAAAAAAAAAAAAAAAAAAAAAAAAAAAAAAAAAAAAAAAAAAAAAAAAAAAAAAAAAAAAAAAAAAAAAAAAAAAACAAAAGACCATGGTCTGATACTATTTACAATTATTTACATTACGTACTATGGCCATAGTAATGAGCTAACCTTTCGTAAGAGTTCGAAGACTCACGGATCCGAACCACGACGTCATTCGTGTTCAGCACTGTATATGGACCATCCGAAGGTGACTGTAATTTAGGGCTCAGTCTTTTTCGTTGAATTGGGTTCCAAAACCACACCTTGTCTCCTTTGTTGGATCTCTGTCTAGTAGCTCTTGTGTCGCATCTGGTCTTCACTTTCTCCGTCGCCAAGTTCACTCGCTTTCGAGCGGAACGGTGCATCACTTCAAAACGGGCCTTGACATCTTGGATGTGTTCCTCAGGCGATGAAGGCGCATCCGTACGGCGATGAAACAGGCGGTCACAAGGCAGACGAAGGTCTCGACCGAAGAGCATCTGAGATGGAGAATAGCTGGTAGTCTGGTGTTTCTTTTCGACCCTAGCATGATTTTCGGCTGTTTCTCGAGCTGGTTCTTTCGGACAAAGGCGTCGGCATTTCCAGGTGAGGATCCCTTCTTAGGATGGATAGTCATGTCCTTCAGATCCTGAAAGCAGTTTGTTGTTTTTCAAGTCTAAGGAAAAATTGTATTTACTTAAAAAGTCCAATCCGAGTATGCATGGATCTGTAATATCCGCCACATATGCTGTGTGATGGTAGGCGGCACTTCCAAACGTGATGTTTACGTTTAACTTCCCAGTTATGTCGATCTTGTCACCAGACGCAGTCTGAAGGGTAACACAGGATGGCGTCCAAATAAGTTTATCTTTAAACTGTTCAGCTAAATCTTTCCTAATGATGGTAACATTAGCTCCTGTGTCAATGATCATACTGCAAGGAACTCCATCGATATTCCCATTGATGGACAGTCCGTTATTGTTGCCACTCACTGTATAAATTTTAAGAGCTTTAAAACAAGGTTTTCCACTATCTGGCAACCTCCGTTCCTCGATATGGTCACTAATTTGTTTACTGCGTTGTTGCTGGGAAATGGTCTTATTTTCCGTACCTCGGGGTGTTCTGCAGTTTCTTCGTATGTGGCCTTCAACTCCGCAGTTCCAGCACTTAAGAATTAGTTTCTTTTCACTTCTGTTCCGTCTCAAGCCACTGACTTGTCTGGTAAAATCATCTGCTTTATATTCCGTACCCTGGGGTGTTCTGCAATTCCGTCTTAGGTGACCTTCAACTACCACATCTCCAACACCTTAGAGCCACTTTCTTCTCGCTCCTACTCCGTATCAAATTGTCTTCGACTTGTTCGGTCTGGCTAAATCATCTAAATGAGCCATCAGTTGATCCACTGGCTCATGGACTCGCACAGCTCTGACTGGGTAGCGATCTCTACCCAGTAGTTTGCTTGCTGGGCTGCCTCGAACTTCACGGCGTACAACAGAGCGCTTTTTTATGTCCTTTACATCTGCCATTCGCAAGAGCTTTCTGTATTTCAGGATCTCGGATGCCGTCGATAAAGTATTGCAGGGACAGGATTTCCCTTGTTTCTGTCGGGCACTCCGAAAAGGCGAGATGGGACAGCCTTTCAACATCCGCGGCGAGCTCCTGAAGTGTTTCGGTAGGCTTCTGTTGACGAGGATTTTAATTGGAGCCTGCTGTAATCTTTTAAACACTTTATCGCCGAAAGCGCAGCTCCAAAGCGCCGGATAGAGCTTCGAAATCTAGCCTTTGATTTTCGGGAAGCGTCTGCAGGATATCCGCTGCGTCTGCTCTCAGAGAAGCGGCGAGATGACAGGCCTTAGCTTGGGAATCCCATCCATTCGCATCCGCAACGATAGAAAATTGTGTCCTATACACCTGCCAGGAGGTCTTCCCATCATATGTAGATAGTTTCAGAACGGAACGAGCAGGCATCGATAAAAATTTAAAACCTTCAGAATTGTTTCCTACCGTCGCTATGCACTTCTTTAGGCTGTCAACTTCTTTGGCGACGGCAGCAGAAACCCTATCATCAATTTGTTGTTCGACGGCAGAAACTCTCTCTTCTATATGTTCTTTTACAGAAGAAATTCTTTCTTCTACTTGTTCTTTTACCGAAGAAACTCTTTCTTCTATTTGTCCAACTTTAGTTTCAACCGCGTCTATTCTGCCTTCCATAGCCTCAAATTTATTTTCTATTACGCAGGTAATTTCTCTTTTCATTTCGTCCTGACCTGCTTTCATCTCGACTTTAAGGGATTTCATCTTTTCCTTAACACATTCCTGGCCCAATTTCATTTCTTCCTTAACGGATATTTGACCAGCATCCATTTTCTCTTGTACAGCTTTTATATCTTCCTTAACGGAGTTGACGGCTCCTTCCATCTTTTCTTGGAAAGCAGCAAATGCAGTCATCATTTGCCTGAATTGTTCTTCCATCGCTCTTGTTATTGGCATTCAAATCCCACTTCTGACACAAAAAATTGTTGCGTGCGTACGGGTTCGTTATGAAATGAATGCACAAGTCCGATCAAAAATGAACAAAAATTTAATTATTATCACAACAAAAATGCTTAAATTTTCTCAAATTATCATGCAGTATTACAATATCTCGCAGTAGTTATCTTTTAACTACTCAAATGTCCAATAGAACGTAATTCAAAACAGCTAAAGAACGCTAATCCGCGAATTCGCTACAATCAACAACAGTAGTTTTCTAAACAACAACAAACTAAACAACTACTACAAACTGAGATGTTTTCCTCCTTTTATAAGATTTTAAAATCACGCGCTAGAATTTTCCAGCACTTTCTCGAAATCAAAAAGAGATATTTATTTATTTAACGCACGCGCTCTTATATTTTTAATTTTTTTTTTTTTTTGGCTTAGCTTTCTTTTAATATTCGTCACGCGCTGCACTGCGCCAGAAATAAAACCATTTAATTTATAACTGAATTAACATTAGCTTTTTAAATACCAAATTCGTAACAATATTATACTTATTGAAATATAAGAATGAAAAGATGTTCAATGGATGATTTCTTAATGATGAGTATTATAATTTCAAATTTTCCATAAAAAAGAGAGAATAATAAAAACCTATCGTAAAATTCACAGAAAATTAAATAAAAAAAAATTAATTAAAAACTGAAAGGACAGTAATGGAATAACAATGTTACTTGCGTACGGGTTTCTAATAGATTGAATGCACACAGGTTCAATATTACTTAAATAAAATTTATTTTATCAAAAGAAACACTTCAGAGTTCTGGAACTTTCCACAGAAATACTCGTACAAGTGTTCACAGTATCACAGAGTACAATCAGTATCTTACATTTCAAACTACTAAGATGGTTAAACACAACTCAATGCAAAGCGTATCTAAAGATAGATAAAGCTAACCTGGAGATATCTCTTTCCACGCTGAACTGATAAGTTGTAACAACAACAACTGAGAGCAAATGCTCTCTCTGGCCTTATATAGTTTTCAACAGGTCTCCGAGACATTTCTAGTACTTTCTGCCTCTCGAAATTAGTGAGAAGTAATATACTGGTCGAATTACGGTTGCAGGATCAATTACATTTATTAAGTACTTGTTACGGGTATGCAGGGACCCGACCAAAATGTCGCCAAATGGTCGCCAAGTTTGTCAATTTCTCGCCAAACTTGGTCGCAAAAATAAGTTGCCAAAACTGTTGTAAGCTTGGCGATATTTAGCTAAATTACCGAGATACCCATTTACTCAATGCTAAATGGACTTGCCCTTGTATTCTTACTTTTCCGGCATAGCTTGTACCTTTAAATTTTTTTCGCGGTACATTACACAGAAAAATATAACAGTTTCACATATAATTGCATTAAAATTATCTATCTAATGTACAAATTCGTAATAATAAACAAAAATTGCACGAATTTTCAACGAAATAGAGCATAACAATGTAAAAGGGAGTCCGTCTCATGTATTGAGAAGCTAACTTCTTGCAATAGAAATAAAGAGAAAATTCTGTTTATTTAAATTGCTGGAGATTATGTAATGTTCGATATAACAATATATATTTAAAGATTTCAAAACTTCGTGATACAGAAATTTCTTACGGTAAGTGAGGTATTTGTGTCCAACAAGAACTTTTATTTGACACAGCAGAAACAGCAAAAGTTTGAAAGATTAGTCGAATTCGATATGACTTTCTCTGATATTTTACCGACTGACATTTGTCAGAAGCTGGAAATTCTATGAGAAAAGAAGTACAAAAGTTAATTAGCTAGGACTGCCATTATGAATTTATGCAGAATTCTACTTCTGCATAAATCAACTTTTAACTTTTTAGAAAATCAACTTATGCAGAATTCTACTTCTGCGTATATAAAGTTGATTTTCTAAGCATTTTTTGCTTAAAAGGAACATTAAGAGTAATGAGAGATTCGAAAGATTTACCAAGCAGAGAAAAAAAAAAAAAAAAAAAAAATGAAGGGTTTCAGATTTTAAATTACGCCCAAAGGGTCGTTTTTTAAACATTTTATGCTTTACCTTTATTTATTAAATATCATGTTCTTCGCACTTAAGCCACCGAATTCAGTTCAGGAGCAATATCGCAAAATAGTTTTAAATTGAGCATATCTTTAGAATTTCCGATCCACAGTCTCACGCGCTGGAGATAATTTTTTTTTTTTTTTACAACGTTGCCATTGCTCGCTTTGAAATCCTTGAGTTTGTTAATCAAAAATTCGTTAAAGTTTTATAAAATATGAAATGAGTAATAAAATAATTCTAAATTTCAAATTTGGATTTCCAGATGCTCATATGCACAGGAGGATTACAATATTCAAAATTGGATTGCATTCTTCAAGAATTATCTGATGAAGAAAAGGAAGACAAGGAAACCTTTGGATGACCTTTATAGAACAATAGTGATTTCCATTCCTTATATTCTTTTATTTCTATTTTTTAGAAATAAATAAAAATATTAAAGTTAGTTTAACCCTTTACGGCACAGTGTGTCCGGTCTGGACACACCTAAAAATTTCCTTCTGTACGCACAGAAAAATTGAATGAAAAAGGATTTATAAGTTACTATAGGTTACTCTGAACCTTCTTTATTTATAGTAGATGGCAGCTCAACACAAACCAGTCCATATATTTTAGCCATGCTTAGTTTTTTAAGACCCTCATTTTTCAAAGAAATCTTCCAGATTTTTTTAGGGTATTAATGGAGCTATTTGAAAAGAAATTTCTATTTTATTTTTTGGCTGTATGCTAATCTCCTTATTCTATATTAGTTTTAAATTTTTATCTTGAAATCTTGCTTAAAATCAAACGGCGAACCGAACCCTAGGTGTACCCAGACCGGGCTCACCGATAATCTAGGACAACTGAGAGTCTGTATTCTTTGTTTTTCCGCATCTCATCGGTCAGTTCATTGACAACAATGCTCGTTTTAACACTCTTTTCGAAGCTCTATTCAATCAGTGTGCCATTTTGGGCACACCCACAGAATTAAAACGATAATTGCTATCTTCACAAAATTTTACTTGTGTACTCCTCTAGGCCTAATTAAACTGCCTACTTTTTTTTTTTAAATCAAAACTCCGACTTTAAAAGGTAGCATGCCGGAAGAGTTAAGAGATAAGACAGATGAACTCTAAATATGGAATTCTTAATTCTTTACAGAAAATTAACGATGTGGTACTCAGGGCCATCACATTAGTTGCGCTCCTTCTGCACTTCTATTGGACATCAATAAAAAGCACTAAGTTTCGACTTTTTGAGTCTCGAATCTTTTTCAAGGTTAGAAGGGTTTGAGCATTCAGATGTCACTTACTTAAAATATCAAAAGTTTCGGCAGTATATTATAAAATTACTGCTTTTGATGAATTACCCCCTCCGAATGACAATCATTCTTCTCTTTCATAGCCATGCTTTGTTGTTGTTGTCGACTGCATATTTCATGGAAGATAAGTTGCCAGAGCCTGAAGAATGTTGGACTTCTAGTTCCACCCCAGTTTTGAGGGACAGCCCCCTGGTGGTGGTAGTGCAGATTTTTCCCATCTCTCCCCTACCACCAAACCACGAGAGGACATTCGACTCACCATATATTTAGAGTACTCCCATGCCGCAAAGACACTATACATTTACAAACATCCGTGCTTTCTCCGGAAATCGAACCCTGGCCCTTCGGTACCGCAGTAGGTTTCCCTAACCACTATACTCCCTGGGCGCATAGTCATGCCATTTTCGTGAGATTAGATGTCATCTCGTTACTGTATTCTAATTCGTGTGAATGATTAAGTTTTTCCATTCCGCAGATATATATAATTTCTAAAAACTTACCAGTAATAGGAACCAGACTGATCCTCAATTGATTCTTCAAGTGAACAATATAAAATTGTTGATATGCAATTCCCTGGGTCTAGGAAAAGAGGTTTTAAAACTGCGCACAGAAAACGAGTAATTCTGTCAGCTGAATCTTTATCGCGATCAATATTAGTTTGAGCAGCTGCAGGATGCAAGCTGTAAGTCGAAACTTTCGATCCTATAAATAAAAGCAATATTTACTACTGACAATTTTTTGAAAATGACATTGTTAATGAAAAGTAAAATATAACATTCATTTTTAAATAATTTGAAACTGCCAATTTTGACTTCAGGAAAATTCTCTTTTGACAAAAGATATGAAATATCAGGGTTATGCTACTGTGAAACAGCGAAATCTGGAGAAAGTCGACGTTCTCCGGTGAATGTCAACATTCAACGAGTCGCTTGGTGTATGTCGGAAATATTTGCCAAATATCCCTATTTCTCACTTAAATCGGCAAATGTCGAATGATGGTGAATGTCGAATAGAAATATTTTTGTTATGTTTATAAGGTATTTCTCCTGCCTTCTTAGCATGCCTTCGTGGCGTAATGGTCAGCACGCTCGGCGCGTATTCGAAAGGTCCGTGGATCGAACCCCGGCGAAGGCATTGCTCATTTTTCATGTCTCCTAAAAAAAACCCAATGTCTCTACAGTGGCACCCGAACTAAGAAAGGTGGTGGATGATGATTCTCCACCACCAGGATTTGGGCGATCGGGTCCCCTAATTTCCAGTCACCCTTTAAATGGAGGGAGTATATAAGGTATTCTCATGCCTTCGTGGTGTAATGGTCAGCACGCTCGGCGCGTATTCGAGAGTTCCAGGGTTCGAGTCCCGGAGAAGAGCAGTTCGAGTTCCCCCTCATTTTTCATGCCTCCTGCTTCTAAAAAAAACTAATGTCTCCACACGTTTTTAAATCATACTTTATTATTAACATATTATGATATATGTCAAAATAGGAAAATGCCTAAATAACAGCACATATATATAAACTATTGAACGCAAAACGAACAGTACATTCTGATTGAGAAACGAAAGTAACACCAATAATAAACTTACTTAATTATGTGATTGATTTATTACAGTTTTATTTATTGCAAACAACAATTGGTAGTGCTCTGAATGTATAAGAACATAAATAAATATTCTGTTTTTCACCGACGTGTTTGGAGAATGTCGACATTCTCCAGTTTTGATCTGTCACGGTAACAGTTATTTATATCACATAAAAACAAGAAATATTAGATTTATTAAGAATTTATTTCGGTAACGAAGTAGTAACTAAGAGTAAGAAGCAATTAAAAAAGATTTCACGTCTGATCATAACTGACATACTTCAGAGATGCAAAATTTCTGCCCGATTATAAAGAAAATTCAGATCATAAATAAGTATTTTTTTCTCTTAATCTAATCTTTGTTTAACACAATATTTTCTGTTTTTACAATTATGATCATGCTTATCCATTTTAAAAGTGCAAAGTTTCTATATCTGTTATGAAACAATATAAGAAAATGTTGCATTTTATTTGTTCGCTCAGCGAAGCCAGGAATGAATAGGAAAATAATTTTCTATAAATACCTTACGTTTAAGCCTCTTACTGAGATATGTTGCGAAGGCAATCTAGATAATTAATATTCAATTCCTGCTTGGAGGGCTTAATCCAAAGCCAAGGCTATTCTCAGTTTTCACGAATAAGAACCATTCGAGTCACCTGTAACGGTAAAATTTTTAAATTTCTCATAGCACACTGAAATTTAAAGTTTCCTTGTCTTTTAAAATATTAATTTTGGGATGCAATTAGCACCGCATTTATTCCTTATTAAATTGCTAAGAACCAAATACGTGATTATGGATTGATTTTCCGAACTATTCGATGGTGAAATCAAATTGGAAGAGAAACATCCCAGAGTAAAATTAAAAATTTGGCAAGAAAGCAACCTCAGTGTGGCATAGATTTTTAATAAAATTATCGGTTTAGAGCGAGATCAGACACAAGTCCATTTCTTTCAGAGGAACCTGAGTCACTTCGTTGCTTCTAAAGAATTCTCGAGAAATGCTTACATTATATTGGCTGAAATAGCTTTTCTATCCCCGGGCCCTAAAGCGATAGCTTTTAGTCAGCAATCACGAGCGCGAAGGGCTCCATCGATGTAGCAAAACATGAATAATTTGAGTGAAAAGAAACCAATTCTAAAGTGCTGGAACTGCGGTGTTGAAGGTCACATACGAAGGAAATGCAGAACATCCCAGAGCACGGAAAGTAAGACAGACGATTTAAACAGACAATTAAATGCCACGAGACAAGAAAGGAGTGACAAGGAACCAAAGTGCTGGAACTGTGGAGCTAAAGGCCACGTACGAAGGAACTGCAGAACACCCCAGAGCACGGAAAATAAGACCATCCCCAGCAGCGACGCAGGAAACAAATTAATGATCACATCACGGAGCGGAGTTTTAACGACAGTGAAAAACCTAGTTTTAAAGCGCTCAAGATTTCTGCAGTGAGTGGAAGCAGTAATGGACTATCCATCAATGGGCATATCGATGGAATTCCTTGCATTATGATCATTGACACAGGAGCTAATGTTACCATCATTCGGAAAGATTTAGCTCTAAAGTTTAAAGATAAATTCATCCTGTGTTACCCTCCAGACTGCGTTTGGAGATGAGATCGACATAGCTGGGAAGTTAAACATTAACATCATGTTTAGAAGTGCCGCCTACTACCACACGGCATAGGTGGCAGATATTACAGATCTTTACATACTTGGATTGGATTTTTTAAGGAAATACGATTTTTCCTCGGACTTCAAAAACAACAGACTGCTTGATCTACCAGGAGAAGTGATGAAAACAGAGAGCCTCGTGGCAAAAGCGGGAGAACTGGCAATCATGCAGATCTCATTATGAAGTGGAAGGAGAAACAGCTTATATTATAAATTTCCTTTCAGCAATTTCGTAGACATTCAGTGAGTGTTAAATAGTGGATGTTTATGCAAATTCTTACTAAAAATATATGCTAATGCAATGTAAAAAAATCAGGTATGTGGAATAAATATACGTAAACCCTTGAAATATATAAAAATTATACGTAAAATCTACGAATATATGCAACCAGCGGTCTGAATTTTAAATGTAATTTATTTGTAAAATAAAAATATATGTAAAAATCTAACATTTGTCTTCCGGACACAATTTTTTTTTACGCAAATGATCATTCGTAAATTACATGTACTTTTCGAGTGAAATTTACGAATAATACTACAGATAAGACTGAAATTTATATTTCAGAAACGTATAAAATAATGTTCTCTCATACTAATTAGCTCTTCTGTAGGAAATACATTTTTGTAATTTTTACAGTAGTTGAAATATTTTAATTTGTTACAGAAATTAGGCCGCTTATTAATCACCAGTAAATTTGGTGGTTATCGAGTGAAAATCTTGAGAATTGTTTTTAATTATCAATAATTAGTTTTAGTCTTTCAGAAGAATTTTTAATTATCAATAGCAATATGTATTTATGCTCTGAGAAATATTTGTCACAATAAAAATTGGTTTGCAGGAAGTGATCGCCATGAGAAAGTTCACTGTAAATAAATATCAAAGCACCAAGTGCATACACGCATGCATATATTAGGCCATTTTAGGAAGAATTTTTTAAATGATAGCAACAAAACCCATAAATTTTGGTTAAAACATCGAATTCTATTTATTTTATTGATTGTACCACTTACTTTTACAGTAAATTAGTAAAGTACTTCAGAAAGAACAAACGATATATAATCATGAAATTAATTAATAAGATGAATTCGAAAATAAAACTTTTATTGTCTAAAGAGGAATGTCATGTAATATTTACATGTGAATTGGATATGTTCTGAATATATATGAAATTTTTATGCTAATATCATTAAAAAAGACGCATACCTTGCAACCTTTTGGCAAGCTCTCTTGTAAAAAGTATATTGCATAGCTTGCTTCTCCCATATGCATAGAATACATTATAATGATGGTCCAGATTCAAGTCATTGAAATCAATTTTTCCTACTAAAATAAGCAGAAAAGTAGTTAAAATGTGTTTGTGCTTTTAATAACACATAAAAGAGCTTTCAATTTTTGCTTCTTAAATTAATATTTCTTACGTTCTTCATGCAAAAGTATAAATGCATTTTTAAATGTTTCTAATCATTCTATCGGAATCGTAGAATTATTGAATGTTTCGAGGGAAACTTCAGTGAATCCGTTATATTGCACCTTGCCGTCAAACTCCTTTGATTGTAACCCAATAAATGAATATTATCATTCTCGAATCGGTTGTGAGGGTAAACGACTTTTCTTAATAGAATTCGCAGAGCTGTTTCAATGACTATATCTCGAATTCTAGAATAAAGAAGGTCTCGAAAATTTGCAAAGGCATTTCTTAGGCGTCTCCGGTCCGTCATTGCATAGAAAGATAGAGCCCTGTGTAATAACGCGTAATATTTTGCTAATAAGTTAGGTATTCCTAATGCAAAGTAAACTCGTGGAGATTAATTTTCCAGGTCTCCAGGTACATCGCCAAACACAGTTGAGTAAAATGCAATTGCAGTTACATTGTAATTTTAATTAGATTATGCAATTATTTTGTATATACAATGTAACTGCAGTTAAATTGTTATTATAATTTCCTTGTGATTGTGAAATCTAACTATAATTACAATGTAATTGCAATCATACAGTAATTGTAACAACAAAGTAATTGTATAATCTAATTACTATAACACTCTAATTCTAATTGCAATTACAATGTAATTGTAATTGTAATTGCAGTAGGTAATTAGGAATGTAATTCCCCTTGTAATTTCAGTTACATAGTATAGAAAAATCGTGATCATAATTGAAAATTACAGTATATACGAAATGGTTCACCATTTTGGAAAACGAGCTGTTAAATAATCGCGTAAAAGAAAATTATTAACATTTTCAGTCTGGAATGATCCTGAATAATATAGCATGTACTGAAGCTTGTAATACTACATAAATTATTAACTAATCCTTTCTTAAATACTACGCATATTTTAAGAAAATATGTAAAAAAATATTGCAGAAACTAATTTTGACTTTCACATATAGAACTAAATACGCGTAACTATGTCAAACAAATATGTGTGTTTATGATGCTGGCCGACAGATACGTAGACTTGAATGATTCGATTAAGAGTAAGCAAGCAAAACTGTACGCCTACAGAAAGTAATGCCTTGTTTGGATTTGTTAAGGAACTGGTCTTTTTAATTAAACTAGAAGGGAAATAAATCACGAAAGCTTCATTTAATCTTCTCATTTTAACAAAGGGATTCGTAACAAAGCTTAATTAATAATTATCATAATCTTATCTATCTAAATCCCTGTTCGCCTTAGCTGGTAGAAAAATGAAACTTGTCCATAATCATCCTGCTTAAACTGCTTTGTGTACTAAAAGCTGCAGCAACATTATGTGTATTGAATTGGAATGAAATAATTATAATATTTAATAAAACTGAGGCAGAGAAATTGCTCTATTTTCTATCTGAGACCAGCGTGTTTAATTAAGATATAAACTGCAAATTATAGCACTGAATTAGGTCCTTATTAAATACACAGTATATTTGCAATAAATAGTTAGGATATCTTTGTGGAGGCCTTTTCCATATTTTTCTGCTTTGCATTCATGGAATCACGAAGATACCCAACCATGAAACCATTGATGAAACCACGAAGATACATCTAGATTGTTCACCGGAATTCGAACTCAGATAGATCTACCACTGTTAAAAAGAGTCTTAACTACTCGGTTCCTGCTAATCCAAATATTAAATCGCTTTTGAACCTGCATTGTAATTCCAAGTGTCATTATGTTAAAATTGCAATTATTGCTATCGTATTTTAACATATTGATGTAACAGCTTTGTTCAGTCAATAAAAGATAGCTTAAACTTTAATAAAAGATAAATTAAGGATTTTGTGCTTTGCAAAATGAGGATATTCTGAGAAATGTACTGAAATGTCTGAGTACAAACAGAAAATATTACCTTTTCATCGATTTATTATACAACATTAAAAGAAAACCAGTGTGGAACTAAGCTAAATAGCGAGTATGGACGAAACTCCTCTAACATTTGATGTGCTGAGTAACAGAACTGTTGCCATAAAAGGTGCTAAAACTAAACTTTTTATAAAAACTAAAACTAAAACTTTATAAAAACTAAAACTTTTTATAAAAACTAAAACTTTTTATAAAAACAAGTGGACATGAAAATATGCACTACACTGTTATCCTTTCATGCTGTGCTGACGCTATTAAACTTAATACAATGATCATTTTCAAGCGCAAAACAATGCCAAAACCTTCTGAAATATCACCAGGTGTTGTTGTTCACGTACATCAAGGATGTCAAACTCGCGGCCCACTACAAATATTTTTGCGGCCCGGCCAATATATCGGCAAATAATAATATATAATAATAAAATAACATATCGACGAAGAAAAAAATGAAATGTTTACTGCATTAACGATAATTTATTCAGTGTTGTTAGATTACTCACAGCGAGCTGACACACACACATTACTTAAATTACAAATGCGTGTGAGTAGCTTGCGTTCAGCTACCTTCGGCTTTTGGGGAACACGTGCACTCAGAACTTGTACGCATCCCCCGATAGCCGAATGTGGCCGAACTCATGGTCTCAGTTTTCCAATCATAGTTTTGTACGATATATTGCATGCATTGCATTATTAATTATTACTTAATTCATATTGTTACGGATTTCATAGTTATTTATTTAGTTTAGTTTTTTTTTATTTAGAATTGTAATTAGATTTGCTTCATGTTGCCTTAGCAACGCAGACGATTTTTGAAAAGACAGCTGCGTTGGAAGGTTAAAAATAGAACAGCGCGTGCATTTAATACCTAATAAATAAATATCTCGTAATTGCTGTTGCCATCCACAAAAATCCAGATATTTATAGATGTTTCCAGTATATTCGAGAAATTAATTATAAAGCTTATAAAAGCCGAGAACAAACAACTCATCTCAGTAGTAGCTGTAGTTCTAGCGAACTGTTTGTTTACTTAATGCTGTGATTGATTTGTAGCGATTTCGCTGTGAGATAGAATTAGTTTCTCTGTTTTGAATTGATTTTTGCTAAACGTTTGACATTTTGTGATATTGTTAGAATATTTTTGAAGAAATATTTCAGCATTTTGATTTATCTCTTGTGGAAAGAATAAATTTTTGTTAACTTTTTAACGTTAACCGTTTTAACGTTAACCGTTTATTATTCAGCCCTTTGTATTCAGTATGTCTATATCAAAACCAAGTGGTAGTAAAATTAAACGAAAAATCGCTGACGAACATAGAATATTCCAAGTAAAATGGGAATTAGAATATTTTTGCTGTGAAATAAAAGATAAAATAATCTGCTTGATATGTAATAATACTATTAATGTACCAAAGTTATATAATATTAAACGTCATTACGAACAACACAAATCGAAATATAACAATTACGAAGGATTAATGAGAGAAGAAAAGTTGAAAGAGCTCAAGTTAGGAGTGAAAAAGCAACAGTCCATGTTTAGTAAAGTATTGCAAGAAAGTGAAGCGGCGGTACATGCAAGCTACGTCTTGTCCGAGTTGATAGCTAAACATTCGAAGCCTTTTACTGACGGTGATTTCATCAAGGAATGCCTAATGAAAGCTGGAGAAATTGTTTTTCCTGGAAATGGGAAGGCTTTTCAATCAATTTCATTGTCTCGAAATACAGTTGCGGAAAGAGTTACTGATTTAGCCGCGAATTTAAGTGATCAGATCAAAGCAAAATCATCTAGTTTCGAAAGTTTCTCCATTGCCTGTGACGAGAGCACGGACATTAGTGGCAAAGCTCAATTAGCAGTGTTTCTTCGTTCTTGTGACAAGAATTTTAACATTTTTGAGGAATTACTGGAACTAATACCGATGCCTGGTACTACCACAGGAGAAGATATATTTACTTGTGTTTTTGGACTTCTGCAGAAATACAATCTACCTTTGGCAAAATTAAATTCTGTAGCTACAGATGGCGCTCCATCAATGACCGGGAAAAACAAGGGCTTCGTAGCATTACTAAGAAAAAAACTTAGTGAAATTCACGGTTCAAACATTCATCATATGCATTGTATTATACATCAAGAAGTTCTATGCACGAAAGTAATAAATATGGAGAATGTTTTGTCATATATAAAAAAAGTTATAAATTTTATAAGATCTCGAGGTTTAAATCAGCGTCAATTCACTGCTTTCTTAAGTGAGTTAGATAGTGAATATTCGGGTTTGTCCTACTATACCGAGGTACGTTGGTTATCTTGCTCCAAGATTCTCAAACAATTCTGGGATTTGAAAGAAGAAATATGTCAGTTTTTAAAAACGAAAAATCAAGACGTAAGTTTGTTTTACGATCCAATATGGATACAAGATTTATCTTTCTTGGTTGATATAACCAAACACTTAACCGATTTAAATTTATCGTTACAAGGAAAAGATCATATCATTACGAACATGTTTGACATAATTAAAGCATTCAAATGTCAACTAGTTCTTTGGGAAAAACAACTTAAAAATGAAGATTTGACGCACTTCCCGACGTGCAGCATGAACAAATCAAGTTTAGATGATACTTGTTCGTATCAAAAATACGCAGAAAAAATTGCAAATTTAACAACTGAATTTGAAACGAGGTTTAATGATTTTAGTTCCCTCGAAGACAAATTTTTTTTTGTTTTCTTCGATTTTCTCAATAAGTATTGACTCAGTACCCAGCCATATGCAAATGGAGGTGATCGAGATTCAATGCAACTCAAATTTGAAAGCAAAATTCATTGAAGTGGGCGTGCCTGAATTTTACAAATATTTACCAGCCAGGTTTGAAAATACTCGAAAATTCGCATATGAAATTATTTCCATGTTTGGTAGCACTTATCGGTGCGAGCAGTTATTTTCAGTCATGAAAGGTAATAAGTCTCCTATTAGAAACCGTATTAATGATGCTCAC